ATCGGCAGTGGCCAGCAATTGGCACCCGCTGTGCGTCCCCAACGTCCTCAATATGCCGCCGTGAGCAGCACCCGCAATCCTTTCGAGAGCACCACTCAGTCGCAGTTGCAGTTGCAGTCGCAGTCGCAGGGACAGGGTCAAGTTCCGGAGCGAGGCAACAAGTTCAGCTACTACTATGTGCAGGATGGCATCCAGGAGGTGAGCTCGCCCAAGGTGCCCGCCAAGCAGGAGCGGCACAAGAAGAAGCGCCCCCAGAGCGTCCAGGTGCAGCAGCCACTCTACCGTCCAGCGCCAACCAAAGCCCAAGCGCACAGTCAGAACCCCTTCGATAGCCTCAACCAGATTGGCGGCGACGACTTCTTCAAGACGCTGGGCAGCAAGCCCACCACCAGCTCCACCTCCAGTACGTCCACCAGCACGACCACAACCACGTCCACCACGTCGACGACGGCTGCTCCCCAATCGCTGTTCACCTACAGCACGCGTCCGCAGATCGAGTTCCCCGGCTCCAGTGGCCAGCTGTATCCCCAGTTTGTCCAGGAGCCCGTGCAGGAGCCACTGCCCCGACTGACCACCCGACCACCAACCGCCTCCACGGCCGAGGAGGAGCACCGCATGAAGCAGTACTTCCGTGAGCAGAACGCATTCCGCCAGCGGCCCCACACCACCAGTCCTCCTCCCTTCGAATACAGCCCCAGTACGGCGGACTATGAGGTCCCGCTGCCCACCACCACCACCCAGAGGATTAAGACCAAGCACCGGGTCAACCTGTATACGCCCGCTGCCGTTCCGGTGACCACTTCGGACGTGGGCTACAACAGTGTGGTGGAGCAGCAGGCGCCGCCGAACCATCGACCCAGCTACAACCAAGTTCAGAACGAAATACTGGACAACAGCAATGTGGAATACGAACCGAATCCCTACCATGTGCCCTCGGAGCTGCCCCCTCTGACGCCCGACATTCCCGGACTGGTCAACAATCTGCAGGAGAAGGACAAGCTGCAGCCACCCATCCCGACCATCCCTCAGGCTCAAGTCGAACCGGAAGCGGAAACGCGTCCCACCAGGCGCCCTGTGCTGCGCACTCGCAAGCCGGCGGTGACCAAGGTCACCTCCTCGGTGTCCTACTCGGAGTCCGAGTCCAGCGGCAAGCTGCCCACGCACCGGATCAGGAGGCCCTACAGCAGCCGCGGTACGACTGCGCCGGACGCCTCCGTCGGCAGCGGTGGCGATGGTGGCGAGGAGTCCGCCGTGACCCCCACCCGCCGACCCACCAGTGCACGGAATCCGCTCATCCGCAATCCCAACCGCATCCGCTACAGGCCCACGACCGAGGAGCGGCAAACGCTGAAGACGAAGCCCCGGAAGGGATCGAAGAACGGCCGACCGAACGAGGACCAGGACATCGACTACCAGCGGGATGTGCTCAAGCAGAACTATCCGGTGTTCAAGGCGCCGTCCAGGCGGCCAACCAGTCCCACGGCCATCCCGAGCTCGTACGACGTGCAGGCCACCACCGAGGGACCCGCCTCCGAGTCGCAGCAGGTGTACACGGTGACGCCAAGCAACAGCATCGATGGCCCGCCCAGCGAGCAGAGCGGATTCCCATCCAACCTGCTGGAACCCATGCAGATTGCCCAGCACTATCAGGAGTTCTCCAAGGACAACTACGGACCGGGCTACTTCCCCAACCAGGAGGACCTCAATCCCACGGAGGCCATCGTCCGCAACGAGGTGAGCCCGGTGTACACCACGCTGGCCACCACAACGCCATCGACCACCACGACCACCACAACCACCACAACCACTGAGGCGCCATTGACCACCACCACGACAACGCGTCGGTCGCCTTTTGTGAGGAGGAACTACCCGCGACTGCGGACGACCACGACGACGGAGACACCGGTGACCTCCACCACGCCCTCGGAGGAGAGGCCCTCGGTAAGATTGAATCTTCGTCTTAGTCTGCCCAACTCAAATTCGTTTCATACAAATCGAAGTTTAAAACTTAAGGTCATGGTTGATTTAAAACTTCTATAACACAACGTTTTTGACCACTTTCATCAGACTTACACTCCCTAGGGAGTGAATGCGACTATGATAACACTAGTTAGTTCCTTTTGCACGTCAACTCAAACTCATCAGCTATCGTTGGGTATAACAGCTGAACGTCGAAGTTCAAGTTATTCAAGCAAAAACACCAATTAACGAGGTAAAAATGTCGTGATGATCGAAATTTTAACAAACAAAATCAATTTTGTGCCGAAAAGGGATTACAATTTCGACTATATAAATAGAGTTGGAAAATGTTCCCATTCAGTCAGTCAGGTGCTTAAATGTTTCGCCTACACAGTAAACTCTACTGTTGCTCATGAGTGAGTGAAACAAATAGTTGTTCACAATGAGTGAACTGAACATGTTCACAATTTTTGATCTTTTTTGCTCATTTGTTCGCCTGTTCAGTTGTTCAGTTACTCACTTGATTATTTGCTCACTTGTTCAGTTGTTCAGTTACTCACTTGTTCAATTGCTCAGTATTCAGTTAAGCAGTTGCTTAAAGATCTTTATTTCCTCAATTGTTTTATTTGCTCTCTAGGTATTTCCTTATATTACTTAAATAAATATGTATATGTTCTCAAATAATTCGACATTTGGCATTGTACTGATTTTATAATCTCTGATAAGAGTGATGTTAACAATAAAACCAAACAAATTGTCAGCAAGTGAAACTTGTGACCAATCTTAATCAAATAAACAACTAAATTACTGAGCAAATCAAAAACTGGACAAATGAGCAACTGAACAACTAAATAAGTGAGCAACTAAAAAAGTGATTGAACTAAGTGAGTGAGTTTGTTCACTCAATGAAAAGTGAGCAACTGAACTTGATCACACAACACTAGTAGCCAGATGGACTGTTAAATCATTTATATTTTTTTTAAAGCTATCTGCTTTTCGATATAGACTAATTTCGAATGTAACAACATAGATAATTAGTTTTCTGATTCGGATGGCATTGGTTTTTAATGACCTGTATATGAGTACATGAATCGATGTTTAGATAGACTCATAGCACATTTTTTTAACTTATTCCTAAAGATCCGTTCTCGACTGCCACCCCGTCGAGTGGTGAAGGTGCGTCAACGACAGCGTCGTCCCACGCATCCCGCCTCCTCATCAACAGTGGCGCCCGAGGAGGAATCGGAGCCCGTCACCCAGAAGCCAAGTCTGCGTAAGCTGAGCCGTTACAACAATCAGGAGCCCAAGGAAAAGGAGGCAACAGGGGTACTTATATATATATATATTCTTAAACATGTTAACCTTTTCTAATATGAACCCTATCTATAGTCACCCATCACCCAGCGTCGTCGGTACAAGCAACCCTTCCAACTGGAGGGTCAGGAGTCGCAGTGGTCGCCATCGTCGGAAACGGCCAACAGCAATGCCAACTCGAACAGCTTCAAGCCGCTGAGTCCCAAGTACAAGACAGAGACGCACAACTTCGAGAGCGAGCCGGAGATTGTGACCGCAGGCCCAACCAATCAGCCGGAGACCTACGAGATCAATGTGGCTGCAGATCTTGGTGGATCAGCCGTCCAGCGCACCACCATCATGGCGCCCAATCTGAAGTAAGAACTTAATAATCTTTCAAGAGCTTTGTACTGATTAGTGTCTTGTAGGCCAGAGAAATCCTTTGCCGAGCTGCTGGAGGAAGTGATGGGCAAGGCGCCGGAGGAGTCGACCACTGAGTCCACCAGCAGTTCTCTAAGTCGCCTCAGCAGACGTGGCAAGTGGCAAAAGAAGAATCGTGGCAGCTCGGATAACGCCGAGAACTTCGAGACGGCCGAATCCCAGAACCTTGGACCTCAGCTTTACAATGCTCTTCAAGCCCAAAGCGAAAAGGAGGAGCTGACCAAGACCACTACTCCGCTGACACCCGCCACCGAGGCTCAGACGGAAACGTTGGCGCTGACCACCACAGTAGCATCACCCACCACGCCCGAGGAGTACGAGGTGACCACCGCCCGTGACGTCGAGGAGGCCACCATCACCTCCACCCTGCCCGTGAGCGAGGAGAGCGCCACGCGTCGCATGGACACGGCAGCGGATGTGGACGACCTGGAGGTGCAGCCCAGCATCTTCTCCGAGGTGAAGAAGCAGCTGCACGACCTCTTTGCCGTCGAGGAGAGCGAGGACGAGGCGGTGACCGCCGCTCTGGCTGCCGTGGGCAAGCGTCGCCAGGAGTACACGAGCATCCGGCGCACCAGTCCGTCCACGCCCTCGGAAAAAACCACTCTGGCGCCAGCGGATGAGGTCACCACCACTGAGGCCACCATTGCGGAGAGCAAAAAGGACAGCTTCCACAAGGACCTGATGGAGCACGTGGTGTACGCCACCTCCACGTCGACCAAAGTCACCTCCGAGACGGAGATCTGCTACCGCGGACGCTGCATCCGCTCCGAGGACCTGCCCGCCAACCACAAACTGCACTGAGCACCCTCCTGCGGCAGCGGAAGGTGAAGAGATTCGTCATGTACATAGGGGCAGAGGGGATACGGATGGGGTTCAAGGGTCCAGGACGATGGAGGGTGGATGGGACAGCTCTTCCGGCTGCTATGGCCCGAAAGGCAAAACCGTATCCACTTGTAATTACCTAGCTTTAACTACAAATATGTTAAGGATAAGCAACTTGGATCCTGGAGTTCCAGGAATCTTAAAAAAAAAAATTTAAATAAGATAAAATTGTACTCCATAAGAACAGTAAGAAAAATTCTATTAGAGAACTTCACCCACATTGAGCATCCCTGATATTCCCATTTAGAGCAATTAGTTGATAGGTCTTAGAGTTAGCATTACGTCAGGATACCACATAGCCAGCATATAAGTCTTGTACCATATGTACATCGTTGTGTACTAACAATACAAATGCAAATACAAATACGAATACAAATACAAATACCAATAAAAACGAAACGAAAAATCCACACAGAGTGTTCCAATGCTTTGTACATAAATAGTATATATATATATTCCGTTTATATGTAGACATAAATATGTGTCATGTGTTTAGCTAAAAGCTAGTAATACGATACTAATTGCGATTCATCAATTCCATGGAATGCTTCGCCCTCAAGGTACAAAAGTTTCACATTTACAACCAATCCCTAGGCCTCGTTGTACGTTATTTTGTTATGCGTCCATAAGCGGAGCTCGATCCTCGGCAGCCTCATGTGGCTCTACTCCTCCTGCAGGCGAAGGAGTCCTCGTCGTCAGGGGAGCGTTCCAGGATTGAACCCTTGTGCGTCCGAAAAGCATAAACAGCAGATTGCCAATGAAGTAAACAAATGCGGTGAAGAAGAACACTATCCGCCATTGAGCCGGATTTGTCTGGGGAAGATTAAAAGGGATGCAAAATGAGATCAATAGTAAGGATAGTTAATCCATAGTATTACCTCGTCCCAAACTATCAGTCCCACGATCAGTGGCGCCAGTATGCTCATGAAGTTTGCCGCACAGTTTGTAATGCCCATCAATGTGCCCGCATAGTTGGGTGACAAATCGATGTGGTTTACATGGAAGCCCAAATAGGTGGCCGAATTGGTGGCCACCGCCGCGGTGAGCAATCCAATGGCCAGCCGGACATTGGCCTCTCCCTCCGTGATGTAACCCAAACCGATCAAGGCGAGCATGGGCAGCCACATGCCCAGCGTGTTGAATAGCTTCCGGGAGAATCCCAGGGGGATTACCGTTCCCCTTTGTTTCAATGCGTCCGACAGCCAGATGAAGACACAGGTCAGCAGGATCATGGCGAAGTAGGGCAGCGCCGACAGCGGTCCGTTGCTCTTGATGTCCATGCCCAGCACGTTCTTCATGAAGGTGGGAATCTCCGTGAGCAGCGTCCAGAAGCCCCAGTTGTTGGCACAGTGGGCGAGGACGAGCACTAGGAAGGGGCCAGAAGTGCAGATGCTCCACCAGGGAGTCGGCGGACATGGCTGCTCCTCGCGTCCCGCATCCGAGGGCCTCCTCGCCTGACCCGAGGACTCAATGTACCTTCGCTCATTCGGCGTGATCGTGGGGTGTTGGGCAGGAGTGCTGGAGCAGTAGTAGAACCACACGCATGCCCAAACGATTCCAACGCATCCGGGAATGTAGAAGGTGCTGGGCCAGCCCAACGAGGAGGAGGCAATGTATCCGCTGACCGACAGCATCACCACCGTTCCGAATTGAGATCCGCTGTAGGTGTAGCCCACCAGCCGACCGCGCTCCTCAGTCGGCGCCCACTTCGATAGGAACGTGTGTGTGGACGGGAAGATGACGCCCTGGCAGAGGCCCTGGACTGCCCGGAGCACCACCACCAGTTGCCAGCCACCGAGTTCGGCGCAAAACGGTGTCAGCAGGGCCAAAAAGGAACAGATGAGCACTCCGTAGAAGAGCATGTACTTGGCGCCATAAATCGCGGATAGATAGCCGCCAGGAATCTGGGTGACCACGTAGCCCCAGAAGAAGCTGCTCAACAGGTACGATTTGGTGCTCTCGTTCCAGTCGAACTCCTGCGGATATATAATGTTTAATTTAACCAATGAATCATATTTTAGTGATGTTCCACAACACGGTGTCTTTTGAAACACCCTGGGATTACTGCGGATCCCTAATTTGCATACTTACAGGAAAATCCGGATTGCTGGCATTGCGATCCGTCATGGCCACAATGGCCACCGAGAGATTCACCCGCAGGGAGTAGGCCACGGCAAGTCCGAAGAACACCAGGATGCACTGAAGGTGACGAACTCCAAACCGAGGACCTGAAATACATATAATGCGCAGTAAGCACGTATGTATGTATGTAAGTATTTGCGTATGCAAAACAAAGGCCAGAAGGTCATGCCATCTCCTCAACCTCACCCGTATTCCCGATCTGCTGGTATCCATTGCGACTGCAGCAGGGCAGGCATCCGAGCACCATATTGCAGCTGCAGTTGCAGGTGCACTCTCTTCCACGTAGCCAACTAAGATGCTGCGTTGGATTAATGCGACGGCGAGTCTTGGAAAAGGGGGGCGGGGGAATACGCGTCGGATGAGCTCCCAAACATAATACAGCTGATAGCAACACACCAGCTGCTGCCCACTCGCTTAGAGGCGGAACTATCGAAACTATCGCTCTAACAAGTGCGACGATAGTTTCGGGAGACGTGATTATATTACAATTTTATAAATCTTATTTTTTAGAAAAACCTCACAATCTTTCACAAAGTATATAAACAAAAAATCTGTGATTTGATTTAAGCCAGAAGTTGCGAACAAAAATACAAAATTAAATTTAGTGGTATCAAGCTAATTTAAAAACAAAATTTAAAATTTAAAATATTTCAGTACCTTAATCCGGACAGGAAAGGATAAATATTTGTTTACCTAGGTAAGTTATAAGGTTCTAAAAAGATATACTTACCTATACCAAATGTAACGTGAGTATCAAGTAACCAACTGCACCACACACTGTAATTTAATGAACCAATTTAATAAGTGCCTTATTACTTTGGTTTGCAAAAATTTATATTTGAGTGCGATTATTTTTTCTGATATTTTTTGCAACGTTTATTATAAAAACAAAACACAAATTAAGCACATGTGCATCAACAAACACAACCAGTGAAAACCGTATATCATTACTCCACATTATTCGATAGTTGCATTAGAGTCGATAGGTTCACTTTTATCGATAGACAGCCATCGGCGTATGCCTATCAAATTCAAATGTAAGTTCAAATAAAAAACACAATTGATTTCGGTACAGTTTGACTTTTTTGCAGCTGCCATTTGAGCTGTTTTATTCATGGCTAGTATTGTCTTCATCATTCTTTTTTGCCTTTTTTAGTTTACTTTCTTTCATCACAAGTTTGGTTTTCGCTAATGCCTAACTTAACACTAAAACATAACAATTACTAGAGTTGATGTCGCAGCAGCGAACACACTCGTCGCGGGCTTTGTCCCTATTTACACTGAACGCTTTCTCAAGTTGCAAGTTTAATTGGTTTGTTTGATTTTGTTTTTCTTTTTGGATTATGTACATTATGGAAAATACTGCAAACAATAATAATTTACGCTGCCTTAGGACTAAGCAATTACCGTATAATATCGCTAATGGAAGCACGCGATCGTCACTAAAGTTAACTTTCAGCTCGTCTGGTCTCTAACTAACTAACTACGCCTACGAAACTACGAAACAACAGCCCGGATGATTCTGGAAGCGGTGCAAAATTGCCAGCCTCTATTTGACCTGGCCATTGGGCGCGAGGGGCGTGCCCTGCTCCGCATCCTCCTTGTTGTCCCGCGGAGAGTCCCACCACTGCACCTCCGTGCGTCCGAAGATCACGAAGAGCAGATTGCCCACGAAGTAGAAGGCGGCGGCCAAAAAGAACGCCATTCGCCATTCGGCCACGTTTGTCTATGGGAACAGAATAAAATCATTACTAATGGTTTCATTTCGAAATGAGGGCTTTGGAACTCACATCATTCTCAACGATCCAGCCAACAATCGTTGGAGCAATCCCACTCATCACATTGGCCGCTCCATTCGTGAGACCCATCAGAGTGCCGGCGTAGTTCGGGGACAGATCGATGTGGTTCACCTGGAAGCCCAGGTAGGTGGCCGCACTGATTCCCACCGTCAGGGTGAGCAGAGTCACCGCCAGCGCGGCGTTGTCTTGGGGCACATAGCCCAGGGCGATCAGCGACACCATGGGAATCCAGTGGCCAATGGTGTTGAAGATCTTCCGGTTGAAGGCCAGCGACATTCCCTCCTTCCTCTGCAGTACCTTCGACAGCCAGACGAAGAAGAAACTCAGCAGCAGCATCACCATGTAGGGGAGCGAGGCGAGCAGAGCACCATTCTTGATGTCCACATCGTAGATGGACTTCATGTAGGTGGGAATCTGGGTGAGCAGCAGCCAGAAGCCAAACATGTGGGTGCAGTGCACCACCAGGAGGGACAGGAAGGGCAGCGAGCTGAAGATGGCCCTCCATGGAGTGGGCGCCAGCTTCTCAGCCGTTTGCATCTTGCCATCGCTGCGCGATTCCGTGATGAACTTCAGTTCCTCGGGCGAGATGAGACGGTGCTCCTCGGGCGTGCTGGCCGAGAACACGTACCAGAAGATCATCCAGACAAAGCCGCAAGCTCCGCCCACATAGAAGATACTCGGCCAGCCCATGAAGGAGTCCGCGATGAGGCCACTCGTGGCCAGCATCACCACCGTTCCGAACTGGGCGCCAGAGTAGCAGAGCGTTCCCAGCAGTCCTCGCTCCTCGGCGGGCGACCACTTGGCCAGCAGCGCATGCGTGGCCGGATGCACTGCACCCTGGCTCAAGCCCATGACGAATCGCATGCAACAGAGGCCGAACCATCCACCAAGTTGCAGGGACAGCGGCGACAGTATCGTGATAATGGCGGCAATTCCCAATCCGTACATCAGCATGGTCTTGGCTCCATAGCGCTGGGCGAAGTAGCCACCGGGCACCTGGGTGACGACGTAGCCATAGAAGAAGCTGCCCAGCATGTATGACCTCTGCAGTTTGGTGAAGCTGTAATAGCGCTGAGGGGAAAAGGGGGAGTTAAGTATTAGTATAAGATAGTGTTTAAAACCTTTAAACTTAGGAAACATTTTCACATTTAGTGATAATCAGTTCTAACTATAAGTTCATAATAAAAACCTCAAAAGCCACAAAAAAAATTTAAGTGCTTAAAAATAAACAAACGTAATATGGGAGGTATCATGAAAAACACGTTCATTTAAACCTGCCCTACTGTATAAATAATGAAAACTATTTTACAGCAGCATTTGTAGCAAAAGCGAAAGTTGTGTGGTTTTAAAGTTTTTTTTTTGTTAAGCGGCGACCTTGAAGAGAATATTTACTCACATTTAAACAAAGTCATATGAACAAGAGAGTTTGAGTTAGATCTGATTATGAAGGATGGCCACTTACCTCGGAATTAAAGAAGTTAAAGTCATTGTCGTCCACTTCGCCACTAAGATCGGTGTTGTTGTGGACCGTCCTATTGCCGTCCTCCGACATGGCCACCACTGCCACGCTGAGGTTCACCCGCCAGGCGTAGCTCATCGCCAGGCAGAAGAAGCACAGGATGCACTGCACATGCCTCACCCCGAAGAATTTCTCTGGAAGTGAAAGAGCAGGTGAGCATAAGGATCAAAACAGGGTGGGGAGGGGAGGGGGTCGGGGAGGTTAGGCTAACATCACATGTGGCGCTTTTCTCCAACTCTCTCAGCCCCTTATCAATGCCCAGTGCTCTCTGGGCTCTCTTACTCTCCCTCCCTCTCTCTCTCTCTCTCTTTTGGCTGCTCACTAAGCCCCAAAACTGGTAGCCATGTAAGTGTATGTGGGGCGCGTTTATTTATAAAACACTTTGACTATGTCAAAATCTTGTTCACGCACGCACTTGCCAGCGGGCCAGAAAGAGATGGGTGGAACATCACGTACACAGAGACACCCACTCGGCCAAAGTTGGCTGCGAATATTGAGCATCGGGCATCGAGAGATCCGTGTTATTGTTTTTGTAAACTGCAGCGAGACGGTGCTGTACTATACTGCAGAGTGTAGAGTGTAGAGTGTCGAGTGTAAGGTACATGTGGCCCACACTACCTGTTCGAGGCGATCGGAAGATCGGGAGATCGGGTGATCGGGCGATCGTGATCCTCACGTGACGATATCTTAGGCATTTCGCTGGTATCGGCCTTAAGCGGATTTGTTTTCGTGCGTTTGGCTATTTTTAAACCCGACTTTGGTTTGCCATAAATGGCTTAGTCTTTACAAATAGGAGTGGGCAGTTGGCCGGTAGGCGGTGTGCGGTGTGCTGTGGGCGGTGGGAGGAGGGTGGTGCGCATTGCAACACCGCTCCACCGTTGGCAACCTTGCAACGCGGCCTTACAAGGCGTTGGGGTCTGTTGAACTCCAAGCTCGAGTTTGATTCCAAGCCCATAATTAAAATCACAGTCCGAAGTCTCTCTTTTTCGAACTTCCCGAAATCTGATTTAGTAATACACTGTTTTTGTATAATAATAATAATTAATAATCATGTAGGTTTTAAGTTGATAAAGGGGTATAATTGTTCATAGCATTACTCGGTAAGCAAAAGGAACTACGGAATACCAATGTAGACAATACTGTTTACTTTTGATAAGGAACTACAAAGACCTTATTTTCATCAACCTCTTTAGCTTCCATAAAAAAACAGGCTAAAAATATATTTTTTTTTCCATAAATGGTGATTCAAGCTACACAAGTTTTACTGTGGTTTCAATAATTTCACATTTGAATTGCCGTCCGAAACTGACGTCCGAACTTTGAGCTCTCTCTCCCACTTCCACTTCCATTTCCATTTCCTCTGGTTGAGTGGCGCTCCCTCTATCTCTCTCTCTCTCTCTCTTCCCCCTTCTTTCTCTCGCCCCCTCTCTTTCCCCTGTGGTCGCACCGTCTCTTTCGCATGGGTTTATCGTGTTGAACGCGACGATGACTCGTGGTCGTGTGAGAACGCTTTATCTGACACGTTTTTAAATTTATTTGCGCAATGTCTTCCCCTTAGGCGTAACGCTCGGCAAATTTATGGCCAAGATATAGAACTTTTTGTCTCGAGACGAAGAGTGCCCGAAAAGAACACCCCCGACCAAAATAACGATTGCAAACCAATTTTCTGTGGAATACACGACGAGCCAAATCAATCAGCATTTATGAGCCCCCCATAATGGTGGAGCTCCAGCTTGGAGTGTTTATTGGATGCCATTTATAGTATATTCGCGTATATTTTGATTGATTGCCGGGCCTTGGGGTACAGTCACCGCTTTTGTCCGTTAGTGGGACGGGACAAGCGAAGGACACACAGCACTAACTGAGTCAAGTGTGCCGTATTGATAACCGATAGCCCGGTCCGGACCCCGATAAAACTGGAGCGGAACGTCGCCGCGCTTTCCAGGCGCGGACAGAGGTAACCGCTGGGCGATAAGATAACCGCTGGTTACAGCGCCGCTCTTCCCGTTATCCCACCCACTCGGGCTATATGTTTACCGTTGGACACTTTGAAAGACGGAGCTGGCGGGGGTGGCCAAGCACACATGCATTTGGAACGTGTAGGTGAACAAACGGCGGACCGTTTACAACAGTGAATTTGTCTTTGGGTTTTCGGCTAATCAGCTGACTAAACTGGCGGCCTCTCATCCCACCACAACCCCCCCTTCCACGAATCCGGGACGACCGGATCTATTTAAAGTTTTTTCATTTCATTGGCGCAGAATCACTGTCTCTCTTTTCTCGTTTTTCTTCGTTTTGTTTATTTTTATCACTCGAAAGTGCTAAAATGTGATTTTATTTTGTTTGTCAGCGTAACCAAAAATCACAGAAAAAAAAAAAACGCACGTAAATAAATTGAGGAAAAATTAAATTGTATCTCGGAGGATGCAGTTCTGTGCAGTGGAGGTCGTCTATAGTGTGTGCGAATGCATCATTATTTCAGATATATTTCTGAACTGCTGAAGCATCGCTTCCAGCTAAACGGCAACTAGGAAGAGTGTCTAAAAATGGAGCGAGCTGTCGACTGAGACAGAGATCGAGACAGAGATAAAGATCGAGATCGAGATCGAGATAGAAATATGGGAGTGCTGGCGCTGGAGAACCAATTAAGCGGTTTCCGGCAACACAAGCTCGGATCAAGTCGAACGATCGCGGCGCTTACATAAGACACGTGCTTTGGACAGTTGTCCGAGATCCACGGCTCGGAGAGATCGGAGCAGCTCGGTGGGACTTCGGTGGGGGTGTCTATATGTTATGGTACTTACCGTTGGCGTATTTACCACCCGTTTTCACCATGGTTAATGCGGTGGTCATGTGTGCGGCGCGGGTTGAGTTTTTATGTATACTTTTGTTTCTTATATGTTTCGAAACGCTAACGCTCGCGTTTGGGTCACTGGAATTTCTCGATATCTCACGCAGCGTGTTCCGGTTCCGTCATGAAGTTGCGGCACATGTGTGGCTGCTGCTGCCCGAATTTCTATTTCTTTACGCGTGTTTTTTTGTGGTTTCGCTCGGTTTGGAAACGGTTACGGGTCCAGAGATTCTGGGCGTAGGACTTTCAGAATTTCTGACTTTCTGACTTTTAGAATTGTGTTCGACGACGAGCGGTTTTGAACGTTCTGGCGAACGACTGCGACTGCTTGAGTAACTGGCGGCGGTCGATTCTTTTATAAATATGATCGAACTCGGGCCGCCCGACCGCTCTACCGCTCTCACCAACACACACACACGGATCGCCATCGCCAGAGAGCTGAGTGTATCGCGTGAATTCCGCTATCAGTCAAAGCGAACACGCTGGCACTCACAGACACAGATACTCTTTGTGTGTATGCTGGTGCTGGTTGGTAGTGCTAGTGGATTTCTCTCTGTTCGAGCCGGCGAACGGGAGTAAGTAAACAACACCCAGACCAGCACATGGTTATCAGTTCGGGCCAAGTGGTTACCGCTCGCTTCCCGCTCTAGACCACCGCTTTCTGGGTATCGGTATGGGTATGGGTATGCGTATGCGTGTGGGTATGGGTATGGGTATGGACTGCAGCAGGCTGTAACATTAGTCACAGATCGCTCTCTGCGCGCGCTCTCTTCGGGGCATCTGGTATCTTCCAGATACAATACATTCCGAGCAAAGGCATGAATGAAACGCATCCTGCAAACGCCTAGGTAAACAGCTCACCCTCTGGAATCGCGAGATAATGTGCCACGAAAACCTCAGGCGAGGTCATTGTTTCGCCTGATAAGGACGGCTCAGCCCCATCTTGGTCCCATCCCATCTTCTGAGAACTCTTTGTGCGCACTGGCTAATGACATAACCTAGCCTCGAGGCGATCCATTACACCGCTCTTAGTGATCGATGGACACCCTTGACTCACCCGCTTGCATAAGTCACAGACCCTTTGATCAATGCAATTTTCACTTCAAGACGACACGGTCCTTCCTTTAGGCCCCTTTTCATTTAATTACTTGACTTGTTTATTTGGCTGCCCTCTCTGTTGCTTTTATTGTTTTCCCCACACTCGTCTTATCAATATATAATTGCTGAAAACGAAATGACTTAAACAAATTATTTATGCTTATCAGCGGACAACACTTCAGACTTTGATTTTCGACTAAGTAAATGAGCCGAGCACTGGCGATCCCCATTTCTACTTCTGCCCACTGCCGCCCAGGAAACGCTCTGCAAATTCATTCTGATTCTTACAAACACCTAAGGGACGTTGGCCTGCGAGGGGGGAGAGGGTCCAGGAGTCAGGGGCCAATGACGACAGCCGCTGGCTGGTAACACTCCACTCCCATTCCCGTTTTTACAGAGAACAAAAATACAAGTGCCCCATTTTATTATACTTTTATGACATTTGATTTGGCAAATTAACCATTATAGGGGACATACATTAATAGATACCTTGAAGCACGCAAAACTCAATCAACTAAAAATAGCGCTTAATTGATTACAGTGCTACGTTAAATTTACAAAACATTCACTAAGTGGTTTGATCTTACTCTGATATTTTCAATAAAAAAAAGTTTTTACATATTTGCAGACTATTTTTTGAAGATGTTAAAAGACTATATCTAGGAAATGTTTATTTTAAGTTCATAATATTTTTAAGTTCTAACAATTATTAGCAAGCAATATCATTATTTAAATTTTTGCATCTAAGCAAAAGATTTCTTCCCCCATTTAGTTAATTCCAAATAAAAATCCAATCCGGTTCAACCATTAAATTTATTTTTCAAAACATTTACAGAAAATACTCTCAGTGATGGACTTTTACTCATATGCTATATTTATTTATTTGCCGTGCATTTCGCCGATGGCAAATCAATTTTGGCACATGGCAGACACGTTTCAAGGCACGTTCATTTGTTGACTGGCTGACGGGCGAATCTCGAGACATATGAACCTTATCGGCTTCCGAATTCGGAGGGCACTCGATTAGCCAGGCCCCCGGGACCCAATCCATAACCCGCTTATCGGCACCGGATCCGCGGCTAAAGAATTAGCCATCGCCTCTAATGGGACACTTTTAATAAGTGATTTGGGGGAAATGCGGATTTATGGCTGGCTAAAATTAGAGAATGTCGAAAAATTTCTGCGATGGCAATCTAATCGAGTGACACGCCCACTTCAAAAGGCAGGCACTGATGGATGTGATTGTTACAGCACCAGATCTTATCGCCTCACGAATGGTAAACAGTCAGTCCGCTTGACGTCAGTTATTGGGGGGAGAGGGGCTGCGGGTGTTTGGGGTAGGATCGGGCTTAGGATCCGGGGATGGAAGCTCCACCATATGGCGCACCCCCACATGTGGGCACTGCTCTAGACTAATTAATATGCAGCTTTTTCTTGGGCGAATTGTTCAAATATCGATCTCTCAGTGGAGAATTATTTACGCTGCATTACGTATACGCCAGGTGTAACCAAACAAAAACCCTCTAAACGGGCTAATTGCGCTACATTGTTGCTGTGTACCAATCTATATCGATGCTTAAGCTCCTTTCCACCGCTCGTCGGGAGTTTTTTTCCACTGCTAATCACGATGTCCCCGGACAGATGGACATTGTTTGAGGCGTTGGCGCCAACAGCATTTTGATGCCCTCCACAAATGTTGTTCTATGGAAATTTGTCATCATTGGCACTCTTTAAGGAGGGAATATCACAATATGTGGTGCAGTTCGTCAGCGATTGATCTTGAGGCGCGTTTAAGAAATCCTGCTGATGGAAGTTTTTTATTCTGATTGATCTATCCATTCGCAAATATAATTATTTATTTATAATATTTTCATTGTCTAAATCAATAAACACATAGCTGAAATTTTAAAGTTCGAGAAATATCATAGTTAAACTAAATTAATAATGTGAAAGACTGCATACCATTTATTAACTAGAGACTTGTAGATTAATACATAAAATATTATGTTCATATATGGACATATAACTATTAAATACTGTTTGTCACCGTCCTTAGATTTATGCAATACATAAAACAATAATATTCAATCTTAAAACCACCCTCCAAAAACTTGTTTTATAACATTTCTTAACGTACTATATTTAACGAACATCAAACTTGCACCATTTAGATACTGTCTAACTTGGCAAAAATGTCGTGAGGCACTCATAAGCCCGAGAGCCGTTACCTAACATCTTTAAATAGCAGAAACTTTTCCATTCCTAAAGATAGCAGTAATTAATTTTAATTAATATCAGTTACCGTTTCGCAAGCCAATAAAGGCCAATAAATTGAAAAGAGTATTTCTACGTCGATCGCTGTGATTCTCCCAAGTTAAGATTGCTTTGCATACAAACAAGTCCAGATTATTGATCACAATATTGGAATTTATATTTCTGTGGCATCTAAATGTTTGGGCAAACGGCTCATTACAGCGGGGGATCAAATCGATTGGGATTGTGTGAATTCCTAAGGCATATTTGAGTTACCGACTGGCGGCGTAATTGAATTGTGTCCAATCAGCGACAATTGTCCATTGTACACTGCCACCCGCCAATTTCAATTAGCGTGGGTCCACTGGCACTGGAAACTTTTATCGGATGTATAGCATATTTGGATATTGATCAGTTGGGTGGGTGTGGCCGGTGGGGGCGTGGCTCTTCATTAGCACCCTTTCAGAGGGAATAAGGTCTAGGAAATTGTCTGTGGGTCAGCCACTTGGCAAATAGTCAAAGACTTGTATTTGCGGAAAAATGTATTCAAAATTTAATTTAATTTAATTGTAGGTGGAAAGACCAAGAGATGGCGATCCGCTTTATAAATAGATCATTTCGGGGCGCCTATTTCCGCCGGAGGTAGAAAAATGCTTGCCTTGCCTTGAGTCACTCGACAAATCTCTCGTGGACGCAGTGCGACTGCAGAATCTAAAATCTTATCTCAGGGAAGATTTCGAGGGGCCATAAAGAAAGGCGTATTTCACATTTATTGTGTAAGCGTTATCATGTGCAGGCGGCTAAATGCCAGTAGCGCTGATTTATCACCTGCGTGACATCACTGAGCTTTTAGCGATTATCTAGCCACTAGCCACACAGGGCTCGCTAGAATGAAAATCCAAAGATCAGGCGAAAAGTGCCTGGGGTGACTTGGCAGAAATAGGGCCGAAAAGTACATAGATAGCTAAAAACGAGCATCGCGTTGGCTGTGAAATGGGAATTTAACAATTCATTATCGCCGCGGAGACAGCTGAACACTCGCTTCAATATAAATACGAATATAATTTGTGGCAAAAAACAACAAACAGCATTGAGTATTTGCGTTAACAGTGCAAAAATGATTAAGCGATAACCTTAAAGACGGAGACACGGAGACACGGGACAGGGAGATCGAGAAAGAGGGAAAGGGAGTGGTGGACAAAGAATGCGATCGGAGAGAGAGACAGCGAGAGAGAGAGAGAGCGTGAGAGAACGAGGCGCCGCACTGTGCTAATTGTTTTTGCCATTTTGCAGGCCCCAATCCGATCCGCATTCGCCTCTCTCGGCCGATCTTTGATCACGTTTCCCGCACACGACGAAGGCACCCGATTCAGTCACTCGGCGCCTCGTTCACGTGATAACCATGTGCTGGCTCGCCTCTCTTTATGTCTTCATGTCGAAAACGAGTCACAAAATGAGTTTGCCATTTTTTGCAACTGTGGTGGGGGAGTTGGGGGCCCATCCATGGGTGTGCTGCCCATGATTTCACCACCGAGGCGCTCCGCAGAGATTGTGTGAGAGAGAACGAGAGAGAGAGAGATAGAGGGAGAGACGGTCGAGAAACTGCCGATTCACACCGAGTCGGCCGACTATCACGCATTTCTCATTCCCCATTCCGGTCGAGATTTGCACATTTTATTTTGGGCCCCCGGCACAGACCCCCATCCGACCAGTTTACGGTGATGGCCAGAAACCGAGGCCAGAAGCATAACGAAGCCCTACACCGGGAAAATAGTAAAGATTCATTTTCTGATATCTGCTACATTTTTATTTTAACACCTCATCAAAAATCATTTGAAACTTTAAGAATACTGAAAGCATTTTGTACTTTTGGGTGTTGTTTAAAATATTCTCCCATATCTGCACTTTCTTATTTATTATTTTTAACATCACCTCATGAATTTTAAGTGTTTCTATTTAATTTATTTTGTGATAAGAAAATCTACATTTCCTTAAAAAAAGATAAGAAATTTTGACATTCAAGAAAGGTCAACGGGTTATAAAGTCGCTTAGTTGATCTTCCGTTTTTGGTTATTATAGACTAATTTCAAATATCAAGCTTTTGTCAATATTAAACTATTAAACATTTTTCAAACATTCGAAATGTAACATGTAGGGTAATTCGCTGAAGCTCGAAAGTTTTAAACTTGCATAACTTATGTAGGTAGGAAGATTCGAATTTTCATAGTTAAGAAATCTATGAAAATTATAATCTTACTTTTTTTTCTAGATTCAAATATAAAAAAAACATTATCAAAAATTTTGTATACTTTTCCTCTGTGTAGAAAATGGCTTGTTCGAGTGGCCACGGTTCAGTTTTACGGCTTTATTGCGACTTGATAAGATCACTCTAGATTTCATAAAAATAAGTCCATTTAAATGGGCATTTAATGGATTCCCTTATCATTAGCTTGCCTAAGAGCTCACGATTCCTGAGCATGTGCATGAGGAATGAAAATTGCTGAGTCCCCAGAACTCGGAACTTACCCAGCACGAGATCCAATTCGAAATGCTAGTTTTACTGGGAATCGAATTTAAATTTGGTTGACTCAAATACTCTCGCATTGCCGTCACACAACTAAAAATACTTATGTGTTTATATATGTATGTCGATGTGTACATAACACTGCCTTTGTTCATATCGCGTGCTTGAAAAAAAAAAAAACATTTATTCAAATTCCGCTTATCAACAAGTTTGCCCCGCTACTGCCAAGAGCCCCAATCTCCCCGCTCCAACCGCCTTTTTCCTCACTTTCCATTTGCCCGCCGAGTCCGAAGCTATAAAATGTACACGGCACTCTTTATAGCATGTGAGAGATACGCTCGAAATGGGGATTATATGATTGCCAAATTGATTTGCCAGCTCGACTTAATTTTGTGAACCAACTTTATCTGATGGCGCAGCCTATGGGATAGTTTTCAGTTAAAATCTACATTATTTGCTACATCAGCAAGGAGTCCCTTTTAGAGAGATTGGCCTTATATGGAATGGCATATCTAAAACACCACGTGTTTGGCAACACAAAGTTTAATTCAGGTTGATTATTACTTATATAACTCCGTGCTATCGTTCGCAGATCCTCCATATTTTACTTATACATGAATTCTACATGATTGCTACATGTGCATGTAACTTACACACTACTTACTTTCTACATACGATCTTTACCTTTTTGGAGCATACTTTCTGGGGCATTTTCAAAGTAAATAACTAAAACTTTCATTGATCGATGTGGCCATTCATTAGTGGACACGCAAATACTACGAGTACTAAACAAAAAAATTAAAAAAAAAAATATATATAAAAATCAAGAATGGCAAATACTAATAAAGTAGGGCGGCCCTCAAGGTCAGTGATCTCTTTATGGAATGCTAAAGTCAAACCTTTTTTATTTTACAAAAAAATAAAAAAACTGAACCTTTAAACTGAAAAATAAACTTCCGGCAATAAAGTATAAATTATTAGTTGAATACTGAACAAGTAGAACAACCTATATGTTATTAGTTTCAATTCTATACCGAACAGATTTTGATCTGTAGCCTAAAGCCTAATTTTAAAGCCATATAAGTTTTGTTTTGATACTTTTGTGGATTTAAATTAATACTAATTTTATGGAGAAAGTTTTAATATCAAATAATTTAAAATTCATGTATCAATAGCTTAGTTTCAATGACCATGTTTTTGGGTGTAGGGTATATTATATTTTTACAATTTGAATACTAACAAGACCTGGTAGGAAAGTAAATTAAATATTTCTAGCCAAATTCCTTTTAAAAAAGTAATCCCTTCACATTTCTTGATCTGTTACTATAAAATACTTATTTTCGTATTGAATTTTTGGTTCACGTAATCCCCGACCTTATCCTCTACTTAAGAGTTTGTGCTCAAAATACCGAATCTTGACTTATATTGATAACATTTCTTCAATGTAAAATAAAATTATCTGACCTTCACAAAGCGAGCAGTTCCATCGGTATATGACCCCACCCACATTAAAATCCCACCACAGGTGGGAATCAAACATTTCTGTGGTTTTCTTTGCACATGTTTTACATGCGTATTTTATTATTTTTTTTTCGCATGGTTGATCTTATCAATTAGTCTATACAAGCTAAAACTTAGGTCAAGGGGAATGCAAATACAAAGTAGTCACAGTTAACAAATACAATTTACAAATATACACGCCCAATGCGAGAATGCATTGCGCCAGGCTGCAGTTAGGATTGACAGTTGAAGGGTTTGGAGCAGAACGAAACTAGCTGACTAGCGGATCCTGGACCCAGTTCACCAAACTCAAGCCCCGCCCGTCTAGTGCTGCGACTCCACCTGGGGCGTGGAATTGCGACGAGGCTTCGCCGGAGGATCGTTCCAGGGCTGGACATTCGCCTTGCCGAAGATCACGAAGAGCGTGTTGCCCACCAGGTAGAATCCAGCGGCGATAAAGAACACAATGCGCCACTGCTCGGGATCGTGCTGGAATATAGATAGTGGAGTATATGTTAGTAGTGAAATTTAAAAATTTGCATTTTACATAACATTTTGATTTTGGTTAAAATAACATTTTCTTTTTAATTCCAACAATTTTTATGCATATTAATTTTAAAGATAATTTTAGTTGCACAGACTTTATTTTAAATCTCATAAATCAATAAACATGATTCTAAATTACTTCTGAGGACTTTATGTACTGGACTCAAGAAATAAAATATTTGTAGTTTCAGTAACTTTGCTTTTGGACTCACCTCGTTTGTGACAATGAAACCCACGATCAGCGGGGCAATGATGCTCATGATGTTGGCCACTCCGTTCGTGATGCCCATGAGGACGCCCGCGAAGTTGGGCGACAGATCGATGTGGTTCATGTTGAAGCCCAGGTAGGTGGCTCCGTTCATGCCCACGGTGAAGCAGAGCAGTACCACAGCCAGCTCCGACTGATCCTTGTTCACGTAACCCAGGCAAATCAGTGTGATCATGGGGATCCACAGACCAATGGAGTTGAAGAGTTTCCTGCTGGTCACCGTGGTGATGCAGTTCCGGTTGTTCAACTGCGCGGAGATCGTCGAGAACACAAAGGACATGGCGAACATGCACACGTAGGGCAGCGAGGAGAGCAGGGCGTTCGACTTGATGTCCTTGCCCAGGATGTTCTTCATGTAGCTGGGGATCTCGGTGAGCAGGGTCCAGAAGCCCCAGTTGTGGACGGAGTGGGCCACGATCAGGACGAGGAAGGCGGGCGAGGTGAAGAAGCTCAGCCAGGGCGTGGGCAACTGCTCCTTCGGCAACTCCTGGGCACTGTTCACCTCGCTGGCCTGCGTCATCTCGATTAGCTTCTTCTCCTCCGCCGAGATGCTCTTGCACTCCGCTGGCGATCCCGCGCCAAAGAAGAAGTACACCACCGACCACACGCAGCCGACTCCGCCGGAGATGTAGAAGATACTGGGCCAGCCGATCGGCGATGCGGCGATCACCCCGCTGGTGGCCAGCATGACGATCGTTCCGAACTGGTTGCCCGAGTAGGCGCACGTTCCCAGCGTCGCCCTCTCCTTGGGCGGCGCCCACTGGGACAGGATCGTGTGGGTGGAGGGGAAGACCACACCCTGGCACAGACCCTCCACCACGCGCAGGGCGCAGACCAGCTGCCAGCCCCCAATACGGGCGCAGATGGGCGTGAGGATGTTCAGGATCGAGCAGATGGCCAACCCCGAGAGGATCATGATCTTGCCGCCATACTTGCGGGCCAGCTGACCCGACGGCACTTGGGTGACCACGTAGCCCCAGAAGAAGCTACTCAGCAGCAGGGACTTCGTCTTCTCCGACCACTTGTATTCCTGAAAAAATTCAAGTAGTTCAAAGTTAGTTTTTCTTGATTACAACAAAATAAGTAGTCAATCGATTTGGCTAGAAAAATTTACGTTTAAAGTTTATAATTTACAAAAAAAAAACCAATTAAAAGGTGTTTGTTTTAGTCAACAATTTACATCTAAAGCTTACAATTTATAAAATATATTTTTTAATGTTGTTAAAATACAATATTAGTTACATTTTGCATTTTAGAAAATGATAACGGTATGTTAGCTTTAAGTTTATTTAAACTTCTTAAAACTCTAAATGTTTTTAAAACTTTTTGCAGGTAAGTGCAGGTATAACTCAAACCTTTTATTTTATTTTCAATAAAATGACGATGTCTAAATAAATAAATATATAAAGATTCATTTGTCAAAATCACCTTCACAACAAGATATTAAATACATTTTTAACTTAATTAATAAATATATAAAGATTCATATGTCAAAATCAACTTCACAACAAGATATTAAATACTTTTTTTTCTATTAAGTCAGGCATACCAAAAAATGTAATCATTAAAATTTATGTTTAGAATGTTACTATACGTTTCGTGGTTTTTATGGCTAAAATTGTTTATTATTAAAATAAACATTTGAAATAAAAAAAAAATTAATAAAAAATACTTTATTATACTTACAGGGAAATCGGGGTTGACGGAGGCGGCATCGGTCATGGCCACCACGGCCACCGAGAGATTCACCCGTAGGGCGTAGGCCACCGTGAGGGCGAAGAAGAGCAGGAAGACCTGCAGGTGACGCACGCCCAAGCCGGAATCTGAAAGCAGCCAGAACGCAATCGATTAGGTTACGTATTGAACTGAAGACCAGCCCAATCAATGGGCAGTCAGTCATCGATTAGCCACGCTTATCAGCTATCAAGCGCGTTATCAAAGGCATACATGTTATGGAATTGCGGCTGTGTCTGTAGGTCACCTGTAGGACGCTTGTGGCCAAGATTCGGGATTTGCCGTTGGCGTTTTCCAGTGACGCAACAGGCAAAAGAGCCGAGAGCGGGCCCCCAGCGAAATAGATTTATGACTGACAGTGTAGAAGGAGCTGGCGCTTCTTTCGCCCATTATAGCCGTAATTTACGCCTAAATTTATCATCCCTTATCAGCCAGACAAGCGCTGGAGACAAAATTATTTGCCTTTCTATTTGCATTAGGGGGGCAGCTTCTGTTTCTGGTTTCTGGATTACGAAAAAAAATTCCATTCATAGATATGGCGCCGAAATGTCGGCGGTGTCTGGCACTCTGCACAACCCACATTTAACCCCTTTGCCCCTCCGATTTTAGATATGAAACTATATACCTACATATGTAGTGGGTTAGTTTGCTGTGTTTGTTTAATCTCAAGTTTGCTGACAGGGATTAACTAGCTATGAGTGCGCCATTAAATACCAGTTGCACCAAGTGCTTTAGTGCACTCGTAAAGTCCTGAATCGCGCCCCTTTTTGCTTTTATATGCTCTGGCTGAAAAATGGGGGCTCGTCTTTTATGGATATTCTCTTATCATGGCTGATAAGAGATCCTACGCCATTTCTTTTCAGTCTTTGGAGAGCTATGTACTCCAGGTGCACCTTAATCTTAAAATATCTTGGGAAGAAGCTGTGGTTAAGTTTGGACTGCCTTGAGGTCGAATGCATGTTCGTTTTTAAAATTATTTGACAATACTTTAATCGCGATTTAAAAATTTACTTTACAGGATTTAAGAAATTCTTCTTATCTTTTGGGAATTTTCAAGATAATTTTATTCAATTTTATCAGAAATAAAAAGTAAACTTTCATTGGAGATTTTTTAACTTCCCGTCTAGAAAATACCAAATAAAACTTTCCGCAAGACTAACAAGTTTTTAAATTAATTAAGTTCTATTTTTAAGCACTCAAAAAAAATGATCTATCTCCTTTTTTTAATATTTCAGAAGAAAAAACCAAATTTATCCGACAAGATTTGACCCTTATCAGGTTCTGTTTGCAGAACACCTTAAGGCAGGACCCACCTTCCTCCTCAAAGCGACGATTCTTCACAGTGGTAACCATAGTTGCGATTGAGTTAATTAGTTCTCAATTAAATTATGTGGTAATTCACAGCCAGGCACTACCGTTCGGCTTGGAGCCTGTTCACTAACTGATGGCTTCTTGGCCGAGCATCCGCAGGTGCTTTACGCAAATAGTCAGATCACCTAACTAGCATCGCCTGCTGGATGTGTAGGTATAAGTATCTGTAACATAGAGCTACTGCTCGGGGCGCATCTGTATCTGTATCTGTATCTGCATCTGTATCTGTATCTGGGCCTGTGACGTTAACTGTCGCTATGATTTGTTGGCTGTGTAAAAGCGCGTGGCAGTTGCTCGTCGAATGCAAACGAGCAACAGCTTCACACACTTGCACCCACGAGAACCCCTGAATTTTTGAACCCCGCGGGGGTGGAGGTTATCTGCAGCCTTTGATGTAACCAAATCAGGCATTATGCACCGATTTACTGATCACTGGGCCAAGGCGTGCTGCACTCCTATCAGTGATCCAAAATTATCTGCGATTTATGGCCTGCCAATTTTGAAATCGTTTTCCGTTGGCTTCCAAGTTTTGAGCAGGGGGAAATTGGATCGTAGTATTCAAACTAGAGCTTTTCATTCAGTCAAAAAGCTCAAGCCCCAAAAGCTGACTACTAAAAGCTCCAATGTTATTGTTTACTACAGTGGGCTATCACTATAACGAATTGTAACTAAACTTTCAAGCTCTTGTTAACCACAAGTCACGCAATTACAGATGTAATTAAACCAGCTATCACCTAATGGAATTATAAACTTTAATTAAATTCTGTTCCCACACTGATGCATTTGCACTCAATGAATGGATTTCAGTACGACCTCTGGACACGCTTCTGGCGTAAATCCATCACCGCTTGGGGGTATTACCGCTATCAAGGCTGATAAGGATATGGCACCGATGGCCGATGTGGCAGTTGGAGTGGAGTTTCCCCCGAACGCGTTAATACCAACGACTTTCAAATGTCCAGGCACTTCAGTTTCGCATTGGCCAGATAGCGAGCGCCACTCGATGGCATTTTCGATGGGCCCTGATAAGTGGGTGGGGGTCTGGACATGACCGTCAAGTGGCCGGTGTATCCGACATAGGTGTCACAACATGCCACAGACAAGGCCCAGCCACTGGGCCACCTTGTGCCGCTGGATAGTCGGATGGATGGATGGATGGGTGGATGGATGGACGGCTGATAAGCCAGCTTTTTGGCCGACTTTTTGACCGGTGTCAGCTAAACGCACGAAAAAACTGGCAGAGCGGGTTTCGCTAAGCGCTATAACCACCCCCAACACAGCTAAAAAAGTTGATCATGTATAAAGATCGAGATAATTGTTTAACGTTTTTGGAGAAATCTTGTTTTCAATGAAAATTATTAGGATATTAACGATCAGAATTGATGAAACTTACATTATCAAAATTCATTTTGATGATTGACATATGAATTAACTTGAAAGTTCATTATTGATTTTGTTTATGATGTCTAACAATCTAGTTAGATCTATTATAGATGCAATTTTTTGCTGTGGAATTGGTGGCCTATCAGCACCCCATAACCTTCCGTTCTACCTGTGATTTGTGACCCGACTTGCGGTGTCAGCCTCGTCTCGATTTGTGTTTTATTTTTTTTTTGTTGCGTTATTTATCGGGCGCCATGGCGCCTGCCTTGCCGATTTGAATATCTAGCGAAATTATTTAAATATACAATTACAAGTAATCCAAACATGGTTGTTTATTTTGAGCGCACTTGCGTAATTTATGCTCTGACGGAAGAGCTCCCCGCATTTTGTCAAGTGCTAATGAATTTGCATGCAGGCCATTTGGCGCCCGATAATTGCACGCAGCTCTAAATAAAGATTTGCGATTTATCAGTGATAAAACCAGTGTGTGTGTGTGCGTGTGTGCATATGTAATTAGCTAGGGGCCTCATCCCTAAAGGCTTGGCTCCCCTCCCATATGCAGCCACTTATCCACTTCCCCCTCGGCTGGCATGCCAAGTAGTGGTTGTTGCTCCGTTTAGTCAAAGCAGGAACATAATAGGAAATATGTGAGATTTATGTTTTCGCCATATACGCGGCCGACTCTAATTGTTCAAAGAATCGTATCGCTCAATCTGAATCTGTAGCCGATGCTTGCCGTTGTTTAGTCGCAGTATTTTTGCAATAGTTGCTCATTAGCCGCCGGTACTAAACTGGATTCGCCTCAGACAGCCTGTCGAGTATTGGCTTCAATCTCTTTGTGATCTGTTTTGTTTTTTGCGTATTCCACATACGCCCCGTTGACTGCCACCCAAACAAAAAATGAAATCAATTGAATAGCTGTGTGTGTGTTTGCTTTTGCCCTGGACGCAGATTTGCATACAAACTTTGATGATTTATATTTGTGGGCACGCTTCCTGTCTGTCCGATTTATCCGTTTTCCGGACAGACCCCTCAGGCTCACAACTTCACGCGAAATAAAAGCCATATTTAATGAGCAGCCGTTTTGGGCCATAATTAGACTACACTCGAGCCAGTGACTAAGCCACTTCGAGCCAAAACCCCAGTTGGTACCAAGAAAACACTTGTTGCAGTGAGAACACACATGCCGAATAACGTCTAAACAAAAAGTTCACTGCGTCACTGCCACTTAAGATTTAATCACTTTTGCTGAAATTAGCAGTTTACCCGCACTTCAGTATTAATTGTTCAACCTAATCAAACAGCACTTCGGGTTTGGAAAAGTTTCGGCGATTTTTATTGGCGGCATTTAGATTACTATGTATATTAGAAACAGGTTAAAAATTAATATTGCCAGTAACAGTTTAAAGCTTTCATTCGATTTTTTGATTGTGTTTTCTATTTAGAGTATGTCGCACATTTTTAGTAAAGTTACTAAGATTTTCATAATTCGTTACTACCCTTAGTTATTATTTTAAAAACGTATAACACATTCCATGTCGTAACCCACTTTTTAAACGATTTTTCTAATCTATTTTTTAACGCGTTCTCGAGTGCATTTATGAGCCCCCAAGTTAATTGTCATTTTCTACGGACAATAGTTACTTAAGGCCCGACTTACTGCGGTTATCTAACCGTAGTTCGCTGTTATCGAACTGCTCCACTTACGTTTGCCCACGGCCTCATCCTCTTTTGTGGAGTTTTTCGCGTCCATGTTCATGGATCCATTGCTGCCACCGCAACACAAGATCTTCATGATGTCCGCTTTTTGTTGACTACTTTTAAATTAAATATGTACTATACGAAACCCTCTTCGCTGAGAGTTGGCAGTGGTAGTGGGAGGTTTTTAGTTGTACAAGTATTATTCAATCACTTTTACGGCTGACCGTTCTTAATGCGGCGTACTAATTGAATATTGGCCAGCGTTCGAGGCAAATGTCACCATATTCACAACTGTTGCAATTGCTTTCGTTACTGCCCGCTGATTTCGGTTGGTTTGATGTGAGCCACTTGACTACCGCTCTCGCCGCCGCCGCGTTTTCAGACCGACTGAACGCTGAGACGGCGCGCGGACTCCATTTATACGCTGCTCGATCGAGATCGGCCACTCAAACACGCTCCGCGCTCGCACGCCGACGCCGGGGCTCCAGCTACGTCACCGGAGGTTCGAGGCACTGCACTCCACTCCACTCCACGGCACGAAAACCACTCTCCACGGCGATTCCGGCGAAGGGAGAAATTCCTTGGCCACTTGCCCGGTTCGTGGACAGGTTGTGGGGTGGGCGTAGAGATATCCGTGAAATCGAATCTTATCGAACTCATCTTTAGATTACCCCGCCTTGTCAGGGCCGCCTTGTACTACATACTACGACATACAGCACATACTGTGGTACCGCTCAAGTGGGCGGACCTCGCACCCAATCAAAGGAGCCCCTCATATGATGCTCTTGACACAATGATATATTCGCGGGTATCAAACATTCAATCCCGAGGGCGGTGCGATGGCCTGCACCCCGAAAGCACGGAAATGGGCCAGTGGAAAATTTATGGCCCATGGGGTCTTCACTTCGGCGAATGAATGAAACCTTTTTGGTAAACAGAGATTGGGTTATTGGCCATGGGCGAGACAAGGGAAGCCCCGAACCGAACCGAACCGCAAAACAAAAAAAGAGCGTAGAGTGGCGTAGCTTTAAAACTGGTTAAGCGATCACTTGCCGTACTCGTGGATGCCACGGAACTTCAAGCTTAACGATGTGTCTAACTATCTAGGGGTTTTCCGAAATTCCTGCCAGTTAGTGGAGTAGAGTGTGTAGTGTAGTGTAGTGTGTGATGCTCTTGACATTAGGGCACTTTCACTTTCACTTTTCACCCGTCCAAAAGGGGGCAATTAGAAGTGTTCTCGGTAACAGCTCAGCCGCCGGGTGTTGATTAAAATTCTTAGTTATGCATAGTTCATGCTTGGTCGCCCCAATGGAATTCGTTTCGGATCTCGCCTCTCTAACGCTTTGTGTTTTTTTGCTCATTGTGTTTTTTTAGATACCAACTGGAATATCTGCAATTACCCCGCAACACGTAGATACAAGTATCTCATTGCCTCGAATCTCGGGCTTGGTTCGCACATTGCCAAATTTATAGCAACGCGAATGAAAGTTCGATCTAATGGTGCGTCAGCAGGGCAAACAAGTGGCTTAGATAGCTTGCAAAGTATCTGCCAGACTTTGCCGAAATGAAAACAAACGAATGCAAACTGATTATCTACAGACGCTAACAACGGAGTCGAGCATCGAACAAAACCGTCGAACGTGTGCTCCCTGGTAGCTGTGCTAATCTGTCTTAAATCCTCCCAATCAATCGAATCTCAAATCGGTACCAGGCGGGGGGACGACTCGTCAGTAGCCCACCTGTCGTGATGCCTCTATTTGATTTCCGATCTCATCAAGCGAGTTTCGGGTCAATGAGAGCGAACTTAACTCGGTTTATTGTTGGTAGACGAGTCACGAATCGATTGAAGCTGTTTTGGCAGATATTGGGAGTAGGTGTAAATAACTATAATACCCTGCCAGCCGATTTCATATTTCATAACATTCCATTAAAATTCACTAGAGATTTTAAAGCTGTGATGGATGTCTAAAAGGTTGATTCAAGATCGCTACATTTATTTTTGTATTTATTACAAAAATTCCCATTCTTAAAGTTCCTCACATGACTAAATATCATTTTAGATTTCTTAGGATTTAACAAATAGTTTTTAAAAATTATTTTTTGAACTCTTATTCTGGTAAATAAAAAAAAATGTATAGATATCTCAGAAAATAATTGGATAAAATTCCCCTTTTGGATCATTAACTAATTGCACCCTTATAGATATTTTACATTTATAACTATCATAAAACGCTGATGTAACTTTAGATTCGAATGCATTATTTAAGCCTTTGTTCGCCCAATTTAGTTTGTACCTAGTCTGCCCTATAAATAATTGAAATCCCCACTGACAGTACCGAATTAATCATGTTCCGATGGCCGAATGTTATTTTAAATTCACCGATCTCGTGCTAGGCACAAATGGTTCCCCCACAAAACCCAAATGTTAGCTCTTAATAGATCCATCAGAGACTAAAATAACTCGCTGTCGGATGGAAATCGATTATTGGTTTATGTAAATTGGAAAGGCCTGTCACAGGGAATCTTTTCCGCTGCTGAATGATGCAGCATTTTCCGATCTCCAACGATTAACCACCACCCCAAACGACCGATCACGCTATGCTCCACTGGCAAAACTGTGTTTTTGTTTTAGCTTTTCGCTTTTCACGTGTCAACTGGCCAAAGGGGCGGCGAATTGGTTCGAAATAATTGCCCGTAAATGCAATTACACATCCTCCGTCCGTTGGATTTTATAGGGCGGTTGTTCGGCCAATTACATTCCGTTACACATATTTTCAAGCCAGCTGTTGTTGATGAATTACAGATTTGCCGAGCACCTATTAAACAGACTTTCTGCGGATTGCATAAGTGCAGGCTTCCCCCGATCGGCCGAGATCTGTGATGAGTGGCTGTCAAGTTCTTAATATGCAAAACGTGCTGGTTTTGTGTGAACTTGGCCACAGACAAGTCAAGTCGACTTTAGTTCCTCAATACTAAACTATAGCTATAGTGTTTACACCACCCCCTCGCTGTGTCACATGGAAATTCAAGTTCAAGTCGCTCCGTTCAATGGAAATCGAACGAACTCCCGCTAAATTGGCAAGCTTTGTTGGCCCCGCCAATAACTGAGTTAAGTACGACCGATGTTGGCCATTTGGCTGTTTGAGCGGCCCGTTGCGCATGTTAATTGCCGACCGAAAGCCGATTTTGGCCGGCGATTAACGCGCTCAGATGACATTGATGGGGTACTTCCCCACTTCCACATACCACCTCCCCTCCAGAACTTGGGTATTCCGATAGCGAGTTTTTGCGGTCTTTCAACCGAACTCATCATCTATGTGTTGCACCAGAAAAAATATAGTTTTCAATTTCATAATTACAGAAAATTTCAAAAGATTTATTTTCTGATATAACTGACAGTGCTAATATAACTGGCAGTGCTTCTTAAATGAATTTATATTTTATGATCAACCAGAAATTATTTTAGTATTGAACATTCACCACTATAAAATACATATATCCTACACAAAACATCAGTAATATCCTTTTAGTCATAGCTCATTGAACAATGAATTAAATGTGCCAAAAAACTTAATCATAAGATGAGCATTACTTAAATGATTCACTTCGATGAGTTTACTGAACCGTAATTAAGATTTGTTAACGCGAACTTTTACTCTGTAATGCCAATAAGTATTTACCTTTTATAAAGGAGGAAAATTCATTTTATGACGGATTTATGTTGACTAGAACATCATAAATTGTTTTCTGTGTGGGGAAGCTCAATATGTAGATTTCCTTGGGGATTTCATGGGATGCAAACATAAACGTCACTGTCATATATTTTTATTAATTTTGCGCTGCGAATTCGAAATGAATCCGATTGAATTGGGCTACGTTGTCTTAGGCTCGCAGGTGCCCACCTTGTCGACGTCAGAGCGAAATTGAACAGCCAATATGAGGCACTTGTTAACATGTTAACGCGATTTGAGCCAAACAGAGTTGGCAGCTGCGTCAGCTGGCCCTCCTAATTTCAGCTTTTAGCGCAGCTTATTCGAGGAATTTTCCGCGCCACTTGACAGCCGCGAAACACAGAGTCTTTCACATCCCTTATCTAATCGATGCTGGCCGAAATTAATTACAAATCCATCAGTTGCCAATTTGCGACAAGCGCCATAAAGCAATACAGTCTAATCGGCCACTTCCGTATCAGGAGCGCTAAGTAGTAAATACTGTGCAGAGGGCAAAATAAATCCTGAAGTAAGATTGTCAAAACACAATCAAAAACATAGGCCCCTGAATGCGGCGATAAGGGGCATAAATAATTTCTCCGCCCTGTTCGAATTCCTTTCCGCTTCAGCACACAGAAGCTATGTATGTTCGAATTTGTAATTGTCACAATTTTACAAAAAAAATACAATAACTCACAACAAGTGCCTTTTAGTACTGCTAACAAAAAAAGCCCCAGACGGGTTTCATCATTAGCTTTTGTTGGTTTATTTTTAGCCACTGGCTGCAGTTCAAACTAATTACAGCTAAGTTATTAAGAGTTAATTTTTATATTTGAATTTGCATTTATATTTAAGAAACGAGCGTGCGTCAGTTGATTTTTGCTCTATGTTTCAATATCAATTTTAGAAACGTGCGTCAGTTGATTTTTGCACTATGTCCTATATTCTAACTGACAAAAATGGAAGTTAAATATATATATATATATGTATATATATGGCACAAGAATTAGAAATCTACTATTAGTATCAAATTTAAATTTACTAAAATGTATTGTTGTGCTCTTAATTTTTATTGCTAACTCTTTTTAAAAATAGAATATTTAAGTTGCGGTGCAGTTAAGAAAAGTTAATTTTTAAGAATGGTGGAGCCTAATGTCAAACGTTTCAATTTTTTTTTTCATTTTTCAGAAGTTAAGACTCGTGGACTAAAATATTATATCGATTTTGATGATCTATAAAGTCAAACGTTTTTCAAATGTTTTTATTAATTTTATAAGAATTCAAACTCAATTGTTTAATTTCTACGAAAAAATATTTACTTTATGTCTTTTTATGAGACGCTTATAAATAAATTATATAAATTATAAAGTTTCAAACAAAATAAAAATACTCCAAAATCCGTTTTACAATATAACTATATGTTTAAAATGAGTGCCGGAGTGCACTTAATAGCTATTAAAGTAAATATTAAAAACAAAAACGGGAAAGTTTAAATACAAATTCAACTTGCAAATGAAAGCACTTCTTAGAAAATTTCGTTTTTTGGCTTTTTTTTACCAAGGCGACGAAGAGTTGAGGCAGAACGCAACCGTCATCTAAAAAGATCTAAAACCTATTAATTTCTAAAGCCAAAAGAGTACATCCGTTTCTAGTTGCTAAATAAAAAAATAAGCTTTTTGAATGTTTCGATG